ATTCCTATAAGTATTTAGACCATATTTGTACTTCATAGCTGAATTTGAACACGTACCGCTCCTTGTGGGTTCGACCCCAACTCTTCGTTGGGTTTTATACTGCTTAACGATTGTTTGCACCTAGAATTGGATGAGATATGCTTGAAACATTAATCAAAATGGCGTCGCTGCAGGTGAGTGGTGTTTAGAAATTCATTTATTGAAGTTGAATTGTGATATTTTTTGCTATAGTTGAATCGACTTACTTTAGTTTTTGTTTTGTGTTACTTGTGTTAAACAGAGGAAGAAATGAGCGTAAACGGGAGTAATGGTAGCCAAGTGGGCCACCAAGACGATATTGGGAACCTTAATGATGTAAATGACCCAATCCGATTGGGTGGTGTTAGTGCCATTTGTCTACCTCTGGCGGAAGGAAACGTCATTTTTCACTTCACTAGCACAATGCTTCAGCTCCTACAATTGAAAGTATTATTTGGGGGGCTGGCTCATGAGGATCCCCATGAGCATATTCGGAACTTCGTAGACGTTTGTGGTCCATTCTCATTTAAGAACATATCGCAAGAATCAGTCTGTCTCAGGTTGTTCCCGTTCTCTTTGATAGGTGAAGCCACCAAATGGTTATCTGGGTTACCAAGGGACTCCATCAACTCTTGGGATGAGCTGATCACAGCATTCCAAGTAAGATTCCTCCCCCATCGAAGATGATGACACTCAGAGATAGCATCCAAGGTTTTAAATTCTTGGAATGTGAGTCAATCCATGAGACGTGGCTGAGGTTTAAAAAGTTGGTGTTGCAATGCCCAACTCATGGACTTCCAAATGATATGTTGTTGCAATACTTCTATAGGAGCCTTGACTTGGTGAACAAAGAAGTTGCTGATCAACTTGTTCCCAGTGGTATAATGCAACAACCCTATAAAGTAGTGTCTCAACTCCTTGATTGCATGATGAAGACTAATATGGCAAGGTACACTCGTGAAGACCAAGTCTCTCCTATCACTTTTAGAAGGACAAAAGAGCAGATCAAAAAGGATCAAGAGAGAAACCAAAACATGGCCAAAATGATGACCCACCTGGATATCTTGGAAAAAAATGACATGGGTGTTGGTACAAAGAGTGTTGATGTTATGGGTGTTGGTGGAGTAAACCCCGATGAAGCACAATTTGAAACGTTGTACAATGAGAAAGTGAACTTCCTAGAAAATCAAGGAGGGGGTTATCGTGCAAACTACCTAAAATCGGGTGAAAATCAAGGTTGGAATAGAGATGAAGGCTGGAGAGAACGTGACAGAGATTGGCGTGATCGTAACGCCACCTGGAAGGAAAGAGTGGGGGACAAAGACAGGTACATTCCTCTTCTTGAACGGCAAAAGCCCAAGGAATCTGAAGGTGTCCGTACAGAAGATATGCTCTCATGCATTCTCAATAAAGTTGAAGGGTCAGATAAAGTGTTGAAAGAGATGAAAAAGGATGTCTGAACTCTCAATCAGACGGTGACCTCTCACTCAGTCTCTATTAAGCAGCTAGAGACCCTAATGGGTCAATTTTCTTCTCATTTGAATCCAAAATAACAAGGGGGGTTGCCTAGTGACACAATGGCAAACCCCCAAAATGCAGCTTGATTTGGTATCTTCGTCGTGCCACGACATTAACTAAGGCGCTTCTTGGGAGGCAACCCATGTTTCTAATGCTTTAGTTTTTTATTTTGAATAACGGATGTTGATTGTGCAGGTTTAAAAGTGAAGAGTGTTGGAAATGGGTAGTTTGGCGAGTGAAAGTCCAGTCGGCGACACGCCGAACAAGTCGGTGATCCTCGACTTGGACCGCCATTGGAACCACCAAGCTTTAGGGGAAATCTGTAAAACTCGGTGGGCTAAATGCTTAATCAGCGACTCGCCGAATAGGTTAGTGATCCCGACTTTGTCCACTGTTTGAACTCCCAAAATTGCTAGGAGTCCTATAAAACTTGGCGAGGAAAAATACCACTCGGTGCATCGCTTAATGTTTCGGCGAGAATGACTTACTCCGTCGAAGGTGCCACAAACTGAAAGGTTTTAAAGGCCAAACGGTTTAAAACTTCAAAATCCCTCAACTTCTCTCATTTCTAACTCTCGTACGTTCTCGCCCAAACTTTTAATATTGCATATTTTAGCGTTTTACCCACTTTTTGTATGAAAACGACCTTCATAATTGTGGAACTTTTCCACCTAGCTATTCAAACCAGAAATTTGGAATAAAGATTAGTTTTCCAAATCCCCATTCTTTAATATTGTAGTTGAAGTCAAATGCAATAGGTAAAATGGTAGTTGTTGTGTGTTGGGTAATTGTTATAATCATATTTAAGTGTTGCTTTGCCTATATTGAATTAAAATGTGTGCCGAAGTGCTTTAAAATGATTGATTCCATGTTCTTGCTTGTAAAACTGAGTTTAAATTATTGGGTTGCGGTGTAATTATAATGGGTCTAGTGGGGTGAAGTCTAACTAACCCCGCATTGTGCCAAATGACGTAATTTGCCCAATGATGGAGCGTTTGACGTCATTCTTAAGGGCAAAAGTCGTCAAATGGCCAATTTTGGTCAAATCAGGGGAAGTCTGAGTACCCCAAGGGCATGGGTAGTGCAGGTCTAGTGTTAATTGAATGGTGTGTGTGTTTGATGTTGAATTCGGGGGTTGCAGGCTTGATTTTAGGAAATGGGATAGAAAATTGGCACGTTGGACCATTTGGCGAGCTGCGCGAGCTCGCCGAGTGGTTCGGTGGTTCGCCAAAGTCCCCCTCAGATCGCCCTTAATTTAAAATTTTGGTTGAGTTTGTTCTGTAAGTTTCTGTGGGAAGCCTGATCTCGCCGAGTTCACTTGGTGACTTGCCGAAAGGTTCTTCTTGATCGCCCTTTCTGCACCCTAAACCCTAAAATACATTGTAACTTTCGGCGAGCTACTTCTAGCTCACCGATTGGTGTCGCTGATTTGCCGAATGGCCCTGAACATCGCTGACCTGTCTTGATTTCAGAAAATTTTTGCTTTGGTACTTTCGGGGAGCCCGATTTGGCTCGCCAAAGTGACTCGATGACTCGCTGAATGGTTCAGGGAGTCTTTCTACAACTGAATTTCTGCATTTTTCTTGAACTATTTCTAACATTTTTTTATGTGGTTTGCAGAAATGGCTAGACCCAAGGTTTTAGGAAGAGACATGCCTCTCCGCAAGCATGAGGATGCAGCTGCATCTAAGGCAAAGGAATCCAAACTCCCTACAAAGGGAGGAAAAGGCAAAGGAAAGGGCAAGGAGCACGTTATGGAGTCACCGGAAGTCAGCTCTGACAGTGAGGGAGTCTACGAGACTCACCTCACTTCATCAAACAATGAGGGAGAGTCACTAGATTCTCAGGCTTCAATCTATGAGCCTGAGGATGACAAGCTTCTACATACCCGTAAAGCTAAACTTCGCTCAAAGGGGATGCATGATATGTCTAGGATCTGGGTGCGGCAGACTCATCCTCCTCCCCCAACTTCAGCTCATACTGTGGTCCCAATGCCTCCGGTACATGATCCTCATCCCTGGTCTCTCAATAGACTAAAGGTCAAGAGACTAAGGACTATTATTGAGGAGAAAAGGTTGTCCACAGATGGTGTGGTGGACAGGAACCCGAAAATATGGAGAACCTTCAAGTCCCATAAATTCTAGATTTTCACTAAATCCTGGGGTACCTACATTCCTAATTGGGTCCAAGAGTTCTACTCGGCCTACGGAGACTTGGTGCCACAAGGAAAAAGGAAGGCCAGTGCCTTCAAACCGGATGATTCAGTGATTGTCTGGGGGCAAGAAGGTGAAATGTGATAGTGAGGACATAAGCGTCGTCTTGGGAAATACTTATAACTTCACGGATGACTACCAGAGTATGATCAAGACAACGATATTAGATGACTTAAAAGATTGGCTGGCTCCTCTTTTTTCTGACAGTACCCCTAGGTGGATTGGGGACAAAGTGCCAATAGAGAAGAAGGATCTCAATGTGGCGGTGAGGTATTGGTTCGGGTTTGTTAGTAGTACGATCATGTCGTCCCAGAACGAGTCTATCTTCTGCCACCCAAATGCGGGCTGTCTTGGATCTATTATTGCCGGGAAGAGCCTAAATTTAGGTGCAATCATTGAGAAGGAGATGGCCATGAGGGCCAAGCAGCGCCAAACATCTCTTTCATATCCAATATTGATCACCGAGTTGTAAAGACGGGCCCGTGTTCCGCGAGATGAGAAGACGTATATGGAGGTGACACCCACCTGCTCTACTGAAATTTGGTGTATTGAGGCTGAGCACCAGAATCATGAGGCTGATAGAAGGAGGGCAACTCCGGTGGACACTTCCTCTAGAACTGATACTGCTATGTTACCTGCAGAGGCAATCATGCCTACTCCGGCCCCTGGGACTTCAGGTACTCCTAGCCCCACTCATTTTGAGGCCCCGAATTCTTCTGCTGCTCCCCCACCCCCTAGGTCTGCTACTGGTACCACTGAATCTAGACCTTCACTCACCCAGGCCATGCTGCTAAAAATGGGGGACCTAGACCACTTTGCTCATGTGCGTGCCTCCCGGCTAGAGGCTGCGGTTCCCAGGATTATTGAGAGAGCTCTCACTACTGCATTGACGCCTCTCAAAGCTTCTATTGATGCCCTCACGACGAGGATAGAGGTGCGTGGGAGAGGCCAGTGAGCTACTCATGAGGTGACAGCCTTAAAGGCCGCAATGCGGAGTTGAAGAAAGATGTGAACCAACTGAAGTCCACTGATATGTCTCTAATTTTGGGACTGTAGAGTTCCCTGATGACCTGAACACACATATTCCAGCCCATTCTGATTTGCATCCGATTACCACCGAAGATGGGGTTAGAGCTAATGATGCGGCTACAGAGTCCGAGGCTGAGACTGATGAGGAGCAACTTGTTGTTCAGGATAAGACTGTTTTTGATTGCCTGGCTGACTTGGAGAAAGAGTACTAGATTGAGCTGTTCAGGCCTCCTTGAGGGAAATTTCTATGGCAAGCTCTAATGGAGCCAAGGCTGACGAGACACCGGGCACTGATGCCCACATTTGTACTTCATAACTAAATTTAAACACGTACCACTCCCTGTGGATTTGACCCCAACTCTTTGTTGGATTTTATACTGCTTGACGATCGTTTGCACCTAGAATTGGATGAGGTGTGCTTGAAACGTTAATCACACGACCCAGGAGTACCCCCTAGATGTAACATGGAATATAGAACCCCGAAGGACTCCATATAAGAAACTTAGCATATAATAACATAAAGTACTAGAATAGTAAAGAGTAAAACAACATTTATGTCCAGAAAGAGTTATTAAAGAAAAGCGGAAGTATAACTCATGTCTCAACATAGCCATATATTACAATACAATGAAAGTGGGCCTAGCCCATACATCATGTTCAAAAAGGAAATAATAAATTAATACTACAATAAGGAAAGTCCGTCCTCGAACCGTGAGGACTCATCAAGCTCGAAAAGAGTCAAAGTCCAAGCTCTAGACACTAGAATGGAAACCCTGCCTGTCGGACCCAACATTTGGGAAAATATATAGGCAAGAGTATGTGTTAGTACAAAAATGCACCAAGTATGATAACTATGCATAAAAAACATTTAAAACATGCTAAGAAGGACAAGTTATTTCATGACATGCAATTTGACAAATAAAATATAATATAAGAGGGTTAGAAAACACAAGTCAAAACATTATGGTCAATGCAAGCTAAATCATCTTTAAGTCTTTGAACACATGAGAGATACTTTTTTAAGTAAGCTTAGTTCATTAGTCATCTTGTTGTGGGAGAATTAGCCTTAACTGACATAGAGACCATGTGAGCTAAAACATGATCACGCGGTGTCTCCCACACCGAAAAGGGTTGTTCTACTTGCCTAAGGTAGAACCATGAACATCTAACTTAAGTGGATCCACTAGCTAATCAACCTATGGGGCACATAGTTTAAGGGCAAAGGAGATTGCTACTAGAAACCCAAACTCTACTAACGGGAGAGATTCCATCTCATCAGACTTCTTCTAGAATCACAGCCTCTACAAACGGGAGAGCTTCGATCCCAATGTCAATATCCACTCTGTGCTAAGCATAATTCCAACAGAATAGTATTTTCTTACTTATTCTCATTATCCATGTAAAGACATGTCATCTTGCCAATCCAAGCTAGTTCATTAGGATAGCTCTTATTCATTGATTCAATTAGGTGAGAATAGTCTTTCAACAAAAGAATCCTTTCTATGTGAGCAAACCTTTAACATCATGGTTGTAAGTGTTTTATGAAAATAATCTTTCAACAACACAACAACAACATTGGCACTTCCCACTCAAAGCACCCTTAAAGTATATACATAGGTTTCATAATATCATGCATAACTCATATTTTTCCCTTTAAAGGTTCAAAAACTTTCAATCACCAAGTATATAGTTCTAACATTAGATAGAGATTTTATCATGAATTCAAGTAATTCTATTACTCCATGCTTTAGATCATAAAATTCCTCTTTGATAACCAACACCCAACCCTAGGAGATCACAATTTGGAAAACATGGGAGTTTGCATGGGTTCATAGGGGAAACATCATAAAAGCATTGTAAATCATCAATTCATGCATATTTAGACATAATTAAATCATTATAATCAACAATCAAGAGAACCCATGGTGTTTGAAGAAAACCCTAGCTAATATGGGAATTCTACTATTTGAAATAGAGGAATTTGGGGACTCCACGGGTGGAAGGAACCCATGGATAAAAGCTATCATACATCAAGTTTAATTTCTTATCTTCAATGCAGAATTTGGATCCTTAGCTTCAAACCCTAGTTGAATCTTCTTCTTCTTCTTCAAGTTCTAGAGAGTATTGGAGAGGAGGTTTTTGTTTTCTTCTGGCATTTTGGAAAAATGAATTAACTGGGTGAATTTGGGGTTAGAAAGGCTTATATATGGGTTCTAAATATAGGTAAAACGACATAGTATAGGAACTAATTAATTAGGAAAAGACCCAACTACCCCTAAGTTAAGCTGCCAGCTGCCGCCGATCCACCGATCGAAGGACCTAGTCGACGGACCATGGATGGACCTACGGTCCGTCCTGGTGAACCGTGTTTGGTGGTCATAGACTCTGGCCTTGACCTACGGTCACTGGACCACAGGGCGTGGACCGACCTACGGTTCGTAGGTCCCTCCATGGTCAATGCTTGGGACAATTTCTTAGTGACCAACAACAGACCTAGTCGACGGGCCGTGGTCTGACCCACGGACTGTCCTGGTGGACCGCTGATCAAGATCAAAGAGATGTATTTTGGGGCTCCAACCACGGACCACACCTACGGTCCGTGGTCCACTCCACAGGTCGTGGGTGGCCGACATGGATTGGCTGTTGCAGCACCTGGAAACCTGCTTTATGCCATTTTTGAATACGGGGTATTACAATATCTCCCCCTTGGGCTCATTCATCCTCAAATGAGATTTAAACTGGTTCTAAGAGAGCAGGAGAGGAACTAACAACCCAACCAACGATGCAATGCATACAACCAAGGAGGACCTATCGACTCCAAGCTAGGACACTCCCAAAACATCTCATAGGGTGAGGTTAACTCTAACAACCCATCATGCATTCAATACTCAATGCATCACAAGGAAGTAGGAACTACACCTAACAACCCAATATGGATGAAAGTATAAAATTTCTCATGTTCAAGGAGGTACTACCTTCTCCAAGCTAAAAACATGTTCAACACAATATCATGGAGCCTTTATGCAATTCATTCTCAAAAAGCATATCTAATGCATGTTCAACAATCATCTCATGAAGTTAGGCAACTCATACTCAATGCACAACAACATGAGGAAAGTAAATCATATAAGTCATTTCTTTGAAAACTTAAACTTTTTCATGAATATGCATAATCGTAAGGAAACATAAGAAAACATAAATCACACATGACCCCCAATATATAAAACAACCCAAGAGGAACTCATTACCTCAAGCTGGGTAGGAGTAGAAGGAAAGAGATGAGGATATCGGGACATCATATCGGTCTCGGCCTCCCAAGAAGCGCCCTTAACTAAATGATTCCTCCATAACACTTTTACGGAAGCAACTTCCTTATTCCTTAACTTTTAAACTTGCCGGTCCAAAATATCAACCAAAACTTCCTCACAAGAGAGGCTTTTATCAACTCCCAATCCTTCTAAGGGAATTATGGATGTCGGATCACCCACACACGTCTTAAGCATAGAGATATAGAAAACCATATGCACCGATGCCAATTCATTTTTCAAATCTAACTCATAGGAAACCTTGTCAATACGCCTCAAAATTTGATATGGGCCTACATACCGGGGACTAAACTTCCCTTTCTTGCCAAACCTCATTACCCCCTTCATAGGTTATATTTTCAAGTAAACCCAATTATGAACATCAAACTCAAGATCCCTTCTTCTAACATCAGCATACGACTTTTGTCGACTTTGAGCTATTTTCAATCTTTCTCTAATAAGTCGTGCTTTCTCAATAGCTGCATAAACTAGCTCGGGACCTATCAAAGCAACTTCACCCACTTCAAACCAACCTATAGGAGATGAACACCTCCTACCATAAAGAGCTTCAAATGGAGCCATGCCAATACTTGAGTGATAGTTATTATTATAAGCAAATTCCATCAATGGAAAATTGTCATCCCAATTACCCTTAAAATCAATCACACAAGCCCTTAAAATATCTTCCAAAGTTTGGATAGCACGCTCCACTTGCCCGTCAGTTTGGGGATGAAAAGTCATGCTAAGCTTAACCTTGGTACCAAGACCCTTTTGGAATGACTTCCAAAATTGAGAAGTAAATTGGGTACCATGATCGGAAATGATAGACAAATGCACACCATGCAATTTTTCCATCTCTCTCAAGTACATCTTAGCATAGTATTCCACTGAATAAGAAACCTTCACGGGAAGGAAATAAGCCAATTTCGTCATCCGATCTACTATCACCCATATAGAGTCATATTGTCGCTGGGTGCGAAGCAAACCAACTATAAAGTTCATGTTCAAATCTTCCCACTTCCAAGTAGTAATGGCAATGTCTTGGGACAAACCTCCCGGCCTTTGGTGCTCAACCTTTACTTGTTGATAGTTAGGACACTTGACCACAAATTCCGCAATATATTTCATCATCTCATTGCACCAATAAACTTCCTGTAGATCACGGTACATTTTGGTGGCTCCCGGGTGAATAAAATACCGAGAACTATGGGATTCCTCTAAAATTTGTTCCCTCAAGTCATAAACATCCGAAACACATAACCGACCTTGATACCTAAGCACTCCATCTCCCCTTGGGATAAGTCCTCAACGGACTTCTTAAGCATCGCTTCTTTCAATTCAACCAAAACAGGATCAAGACCTTGCTTAGACTTCAAATCCAACACTAAAGACGATTTGAAACCATTATGGACCATGACACCACCCTTGGTGGAATCCACCAGTTGAACACCTAGTCGGACTAACCTATGAACATCACGAACCAACTCTTCATTTTCTTCATCTACATAAGTCACACTACTCATGTCATAATCCTTCAAGAGTTCTAGCCACTTTCTTTGGCGAAGATTCAAGTCCTTTTGACTAAACACATATTGTAGACTCTTATGATCGGTGAAAACATCCACATGGACCCCATACAAATAATGCCTCCATATTTTTAAGGCAAACACAATCGTCGCTAATTCAAGGTTATGGGTAGGATAATTCTTCTCATGGGTCTTAAGTTGCCTTGAAGCATAGGCAATCACCTTACCATTTTGCATAACCACATATCCCAACCCAACTCTAGAGGCATCACAAATACACCACAAAACCTTTCGTACCTTCCGGTAAGGTCAACATCGGAGTGGAAGTAAGTCTATCTTTCAACTCTTGGAAAATTTTGTCTCAAGCCTCTGACCACACAAACTTAGCCTTCTTTTGAGTCAGAGCCGTCAAAGGAGAAGAAATTGAGGATAACCCCTCAACAAACCTTCTATAGTAACAGGCCAAACCCAAAAAGCTTCTAATGTCGGAAGGAGTTAGAGGTCTAGGCCAACTCTTGACCGCATCTGTCTTGATAGGGTCTATGTCAATACCCTTACTTAACACTATATTCCCAATAAAAGCTATGAACCTTAGATCATTATGCTCTTTCTCACTCCTTGAATAGATCAAAATTTCATCAATAAATACAATCACAAACATATCAAGGTATTGTCTAAACACCCTATTCATGAAGTCCATAAATGTCACCGGAGCATTAGTCAACCCAAACGACATTACCAAGAACTCATAATGACTATACGAGTTTGAAAAGCCGTCTTCGGAATGTCATCATCATTCACCCTGAATTGGTGATAACCCGAATGAAGATCGATCTTATAGAAATAACTTGCTCTTTGAAGTTGATCAAACAAGTCATCTATTCTTGGGAGAGGATATTTGTTCTTAATGGTCACTTTTTTCAGGTACCGATAATCAATACACATACAGAGAGAACCATCTTTCTTCCTAACAAATAAGACCGGAGCACCCCATGGAGAGATACTCGGTCGGATGAAGCCCTTATCCAACAAATCGTTTAATTGATCTTTCAACTCCTTAAGTTTTGCCGGATCCATTCTATAGGGAGGAATAGAGATAGGTTGCGTATCTAGGAGAAGGTCAATACCAAAGTCTATTTCCTGCTCAAGAGGAATACCGGGTAAATCATCAGGGAAAACTTTCGGACACTCATTGACTATCGGGACCGACTCAAGAGTAGGGGTTTTGGAATCTGCATCCTTTACCCTGACTAAATTATAAATGCAACCTTTCGAGATCATCTTCCTAGCTTTTAAAAAAGAGACAAACTTCCCATTGGGCATAGAATTTCCCCCCTTTCACTCTAGGATGGGCTCATTTGGAAACTAAAATATGACCACTCGAGTCCTACAATCTATTGAAGCATAGCAAAAATGCAACCAATCCATCCCAAGAATGACATCAAAGTCTAACATGTCAAGTTCTATCAAGTCTACAAGAGTAACTCTATCGGACAAAGAAACGGGATACATTCTATAAACCCTCTTAGCCGCCACAGAATCACCAATAGGAGTAGAGATAGAAAAAGGATCTAATATCAAACTTCATAGCCACAAAAGGTGTTACAAAGGACAAAGTAGCACCAGGATCAAGCAAGGCATATACATAATGTTGAAAAACTTTTAACATACTGGTCAATACATTCGGGGAGCTCTCTTGGTCACCTCGGGTTTGGAGAGCATAAAATTGGTTTTGTTTTGGAACATTGGCATTCGAACATCTAGGAGGAGCTTGCTTTCCCTCTCTCCCTTTAGCCGCAAGCATGGGGTGATCTCTCATTTTGTGTCCACTCTTCCCGCAACTAAAGCATCCATTGGTGTCGGCTAGGCACTTACCATCATGTTTCTTCCCACACTTAGCACAAGTAGGCCAAGCCAAAGAAGAACCACAACCATTCCCTCCTTGAGGTTTAGGGTTAGACATCCTTTCCTTGTTAAGCTTAGGTGCAGAGTTAGAGGAACCTTGACAGGAAAACCCTTGACAAAACTTAGGACAACCATGTCCATCAGATTTAGCATGTGAGAAATTACCATCACCGGTCTTAGCCCTTTTTACCTCTCTAGACTTTTCCTTGAGTTTCTCTTCTTAGATTTGTTGTGCATGCACCATGAGATGAGAAATATCCATGTCACCAATGAGCATGGCGGTACGACACTCTTTAACCACCATATTGGACACCCCCGATACAAACTTACTCATTCTAGCTCTTGAATCCGCAACCATTGTTGAAGCATATTTGGACAATTGAGTGAACTTTAAAGTATATTCCCTCACAATCATGTTTCCTTGATGAAGGTTAATGAACTCTAGCACCTTGGCTTCCCTCATCTCAAGAGGAAAGAATCTATCAAGAAAAGCGGATTTGAACATTTCCCATTCAATAGGACCCGCTCCCGCCGGTCTAGCCTCCTTCCATTGGTTGTACCCAACTTGAGCAACACCTTTCAATTGATAGGCGGCCAATTTCGCTTTCTCTCCCGAAGTCACTCCCATGATAGCAAGTACCTTATAGACCTCATTGATAAAATCATGAGGATCCTCCTCAATTTTAGAGCCATGAAATTTTTGAGGGTTCATCCTCATAAAATCTCTCACTCTTGAAGCTGACGTGCCCACACTTGGGTTCACGGGGACTACCACCTCTCTATTGGCTTGAGTTTTCATGGCTTGGGCCAACACTTGAAAAGCCGATATAAACTCTGCATTTGTAACTTACTCGGCCAAGGGATCAACCGGAGTTTGAGGAGGATCTTAGGGAGGAGCTTCTTGATCCACGTTCTCCCTCACATTCCTTCTAGTATACGCCCTTCGAGTAGACATATCCTGAAGAGTATAAGGTAAGGATTAGAAGAGGGACTTTATAGAGTTAAACTCTATGGAACGACTTAATAGTAATGAAAGAAGTGGAGTTTCCTAATCATCGTGTAGCCTCTCATTCATAAGTGTGGCGCGCTTCACACTCATGAACAAGACTCTACTAGATGTGGCTAATGAGACATCATCCTAGGATCATTCTAAACTTGGTGCTCTAATTACCAAGTTTTTCACGACCCAGGGGTACCCCTTAGATATAACATGGCATATAGAACCCCGAAGGACTCCATATAAGCCACTTAGAATATCATAACATAAAGTACTAGAATAGTAAAGAGTAAAACAACATTTAGGTCCAAAAAGAGTTATTATAGAAAAATGTAAGTCTAACTCATGTCTCAACATAGCCATCTATTACAATACAATGAAAGTGGGCCTAGCCCATACATCATGTTCAAAAAGGAAATACGAAAGTGAAACTACAATAAGTAAAGTCCATCCTCGAACCATGAGGATTCACCAATCTCAGAAAGAGTTAAAGTCCAAGCTCTAGCCACTAGAATGGAAACCTTGCTTGTCAGACCCTACATTTGGGGAAAATGTAGTCAAGAGTGTGCGTTAGTACAAAAATGCACTAAGTATGATAAATATGCATAAAACATTTAAAACATGCTAAGAAGGACAGTTCATTTCATGACATGCAATTTGACAAATAAAACATAATATAAGAGGGTTAAAAAACACAAGTCAAAACATTGTGATCAATGCAAGCTAAATCATCTTTAAGTCTTTGAACACATGAGAGATACTTCTTTAAGTAACCTTAGTTCATTTGTCATCTTGTTGTGGGAGAATTAGCCTTAACTGGCATAGAGACCATGTTAGCTAAAACACGATCACTCGGTGTCTCCCACACCAAAAAGGTTTGTTCTACTTGCGTAAGGTAGAACCATGAACATCTAGATTAAGTGGATCCACTAGATAATCAACCTATGGGGGCACATAGTTTAAGTGATAAGGATATTGCTACTAGAAACTCGGCATCTACTAATGGGAGAGCTTCCATCTCATGAGACTTCTTCTAGAAAATCGGCCTCTACTAACGGGAGAACTTCTATACCAATGTCAATATCCACTCGGTGCTAAGCATGATTCCCAAGGAATAGTATTTTCTTAATTATTCTTATTATCCATGGAAAGACATGTCATCTTGTCAATCCAAGCTAGTTCATTAGGATAGCTCTTATTTATTGATTCAATTAGGTGAGAATAGTATTTCAACCTAAGAATCCTTTTTATGTGAGAAAACCTTTTACATCATGGTTGTACGTATTTTATGAGAATAATTTTTCAACAACAACATTGGCACTTCCCTCTCAAAGCACACTTAAAGCATTTACATAGGTTTCATAAGATCATGCATAACTCATATTTTTCCCTTTCAAGGTTCAAAACAACTTTCAATCACCAAGTATAGAGTTCTAACATTAGAGAGATTTTATCATGAATTCAAGTAATTCTATTACTTCATGCTTTAGATCAAAAAACTCCTCTTTCATAACCAACACCCAACTGTAGGAGATTACAATTTGGAAAACATGGGAGTTTGCATGGGTTCATAGTGGAAATATCATAAAAGCATTGTAAATCATCAATTCATGCATATTTATACATAATTAAATCATTAGAATCAACAATCAAAAGAACCCATGGTGTTTTAAGAAAACCCTAGCTAATTGGGGAATTCCATTATTTGAAATAGAGGAATTTGGGGACTCCATTGGTGGAAGTAACCCATGGATGAAAGCTATCATACCTCAAGTCCAATTGCTTATCTTCAATGGTGAATTTGGATCCTTAGATTCAAACCCTAATTGAATCTTCTTCTTCTTCTTCAAAATCTAAAGAGAGAATATTTGAGTGGAGGTTTTGGTTTTCTTTTGGGATTTTGGAACAATGAAATAAGTGGGGTGAATTTGGGGTTAGAAAGGCATATATAGAGGTTCAAAATATAGGTAAAACGACATAGTATAGGAACTAACTAATTAGGAAAAGACCCAACTACCCTTAAGTTAAACTTACAGCTACCACCGACCCATCGACCGATGGACCCAGTCGACTGACCATAGATGGACCTACGGTCTGTCCTGGTGAACCGTGGTTGCTGGTTAGATACTCAGGCCTTGACCTACGGCCATTGGACCACGGGTCGTCGACTGACCTACGGTCCATAGGTGCCTCTGTGGTCCATGCTTGGGACAATTTTTGAGTGACCAATGACGAACTCAGTCGACGGGTCGTGGTCAGACCCACGGACCGTCTTAGTGGACCGTCGATCAAGATCAGAGAGATGTATTTTGGGGATTCAACCACAGACCACACCTATGGTCCGTGGTCCACTCCACGGGCCGTGGGTGGCCGGCGTAGATTGGTTGCTTCAGCACTTGGAAAGTTGTTATATGCCCTTTTTGAATATAGGGTGTTACAAGTTGCATAAAGGTTCTTATTATTTTCTTTTACATTCATTCTCTCTAGAAATTTACATTATTATAATTATTGCTTACCGCTAGTTATGAGTAGTAAAACTCATAGGGCTATGGAACTTAGAGTAGGAAAGATGATAATAGATTGTTTATAAAAAAAAATTCTAGTGAAGGAGCGATCATAGTTTATTAAGGTTCTTTTGTACAGATTATTTTTTAATGATTGCAAACATTAAGAACTCTTCCATATTCTAACCTTTGAAAAAAGAAGTTAAGATTAGAAAAAATGATCATTAATAGGGGTTCAGACAAATAACTTGATATCAAACGAGGATAGTTGACCTGAGGCTTTAATTTTGATGATAAATAAATTAATTAGACACCCAAGAGCCAACAAGGACATAGAGTGATGTTATCTCAAGTGGGTCGAGACACTTTAGGAGACTCATAGTGTAACACCTTGAAAGTGGAAATGTTAGATAGGAAATGAAAAGTTGCAGAATTATTGCTGCATTGATTCCACCAGCCATTATATGGGCCATAGAAATTTGTATGGGTCGTGGGAACCATTCATGGTTATTGCCTAGAAAATCAGGAAAATGTCATGTCCCAGACGTCACTTTACGAGTCAACAGTACGACTCATAGATTGATTTATGAGTTGTAGTTGATCTCGTATATGGCTTTCAAACTTGAAGGGTTTTGGTACCTTGAGTTATATGATTAGGTTGTATGATTCATGCATTGATAGACGGCTCACGGTCAGTCTATCATATTTAACCTTCAAAAAGTTGGTGTTTTCAGTAATCGGAATATGGCTTACCAGTACGGCCCATAGAAGGAAATATGATCCGTACCTGGCCATATGTGGTTCCAAGCCTGAAGGTCAAGGCCTAAGTTAGTAATCCAGTGTATGAGAGGTTCTACGGCTCTTGGTAATTTTGATGTATCATGGTTCTTGGTTCGAGTTCAACATCAAAAAGTTAGGTTTTCCGGTAAAGTATTTGACGGACACATGGTACGGTCCGTGGTCTGATGTACGAACCATACATGTGTTCATAGAGTGATATGGAATTTATTTTTTCAGGGTTATTTGGATCTTTTTCTACTTTTTAATTCTTAAACTACGTTGTATCTAACTTATTTTGAAGACCTATAACTGATTTCTAGACTAAAACCCTTCCCATTCACTCTCATTTTCTTAAATGCCAAAATTCTTTCTCAAGTCCTCTTCTCCAAGCAAGCTAGGGTTTTAAGGATTCCAAGCCTCCATTAAAGATTTCCGTTAGGGCTTTGATCAAGGCATATGGGAAATTTGTCTAAGATTTCCTCTTCACACATTGAGTCCCAAACAAACCTCAAAATCTCTTTTATGATTCCTACCCAAATTCTAGGGTTTTATGATTTTCTTATGGGTTCAATTGACTATAAGTTTATTCATCCTTATTGATCATATTATTCATAATTTGATCATATTTCAATGTTGTCAATGATATTTTTATGAACCCATGCACTACAAATGTTTTATGATTATGAACTAAGGTATATTGATATGCATGCATTATGGATTGAAGACTTTATGAATCAAGGATGCTTTTCGATAAATAATCAAGCATGTTTTATGTAA